GAACACAGCACTCCCACAATTGCTTGTCTGGAACTGTATCTCCAGGATATCAGACAGCTGTCATAATGAACATTGACTAGCAAATATGCCTCCCTTGTACTTGGAAGCATGGAGATGCTGGAGCCAATTGATTGCAAGTTTCTTGAATGACACATGCCTCCACAAGGGACTTTTGTTGCCAGGAGTAGGCCCGGAGCTTTGCAAGTGTTCATTACAATGGATAACAAAGCACCTGTGTTAGCTGAGAGTCCCTTGAGTGAACCAAATGGAAATAGAGACTAAAACCCCACATACTACGGTTTATCTTTCCAGGTTAACACTGATGTATCTTAGCACTTTCGTGCCATGACTTTTTTGGGATAATACCCCTCCAGTTTCAGAAAATTAACACCATTGCTTAGTTAGGCAATAATCTGAATTTCTGAGGTTATCTCCTGTTTCAGATTTGATAATCGAAGCCATCTTGTTGCTCTCCAATTTAAAGACAAAACAGTGGTTCTCAAACTTTTGGAAAGCTTACTCCTTTTTATGTGGTTTCCCACTCTATCCCCCTATGTTTCTTTGTCATAGATTGGGGTGCTCAACCTCTGGCCCTTGGGCCAGATGAGACCCGTGGAGACATGGGTTGGGAAATTTGTTGGCTCCCCATGGGTTGGGAAATTTGGCGGCAGGGGAGCAGTGGCCACCCTCCCCCTTCACCAAATTCCCATGGCCCCTTTCCCCCCCGCCCCTACCAGTACAGCCAGATCTGGACCAGACCACACTCACTTCTCTCCTCACTGCTGGGCTGGGGCCAAGCCAAGCTCCCTTCCCCTGCCCAACTGTGTTGGGGCTAGGTCACCCCCCCTTCCCCCCATGGGACTGGATGGGAGTGGGCCATACCCTCTTCTCACAGTGGGGCTAGATCAAGCTGGGCTGTCCCAGCCCCCTCTGTGCAGCCAGATGGAGGCCCACTATGCCTGCCCTGGGCCACTGCTGAGCACCACTGTGATAGAAGATAAAAATAGTAATATTTTGTCATTACATATTATATCCTGTCTAACTACTGAAGAAACTAGAGGTCTTCATATTTGTTGCTTCCTTTTCTTCTTCTTATGTCCCTTTTCCCTTCTGCTTTCCCATTCTTTCCTCTGACATGCCTTTTAGATGCTAAAACCTGTATATGCTGTACATATATGCCTGTGGGGAGGTCATAACTCCAGTTTGAGACACACTGGCCTATGGAGTCCTCACTTTCTACTTTTCCTGTCTTATGTGGATTTCAGAAAGAGGAAAAACTTTGGTTCAGAAGAAACCAACCATGTATCCAGAATGGAAATCATCCTTCGATGCCCATGTCTATGAAGGGCGTGTGATTCAAATTGTTCTCATGAAGGCAGCAGAAGAGCCATTATCTGAGGTGACTGTTGGGGTATCGGTCTTGGCTGAGAGATGCAAGAAGGGCAATGGCAAAGCGGAATTCTGGGTAAGCATGGAGAGTCATCCCTTAAATGTGCAGAACTGGCTGCTTGCTTGTTATATTTTACTGAAATGGAACCTGCCATTCAGCTTTGAAAATATGTACATTCAGTCCTTCTTAACATACATGGCAGTGCCTCCAAGAAAAGATTTTATCATAATTATTGATGCCAATAATGAAGTGTCAAGGTCTATAAAACTGATAGTAACATTCAGGTTTTAGCATATGAAAATAGCAGCCTATGGTACACTCAAAATTTAACTTTAAAAGTGCTATAGCTGTTAGCTGGGATCAGCATATTTTCAAATGGAGATGGATTATTACAAATTAACTGTAGATGAAGGAAGCTGAGATCTTGTTCACTTTTTCAGAAAAATTGCTAGTTGATCTGGTGTTGCAGCAAGTTGTTTCCTTCATTCTTAATTTACTTTCTTGCCTTAACGTCTCACAGCATGTACACACTGTTTTGTGTACATACCTGCAATCATTTGCATATATATTATTTTAGCAAAGATTTTATGGGAAAATGATTTGACTCAAGTTTGGAAAAATAAAAGGGACGTTAGTTTCATAGTTTCATAGTAGCTAGGGTCAGGAGGCACCTGAACAGATCAGCTAGCCTG